TGATAGGGAGCTTAAGAGAGCTTTTTTTGGGGGGGGGGGTGAAAGAAGGCTCCTAAGAGGAAGGGAGTGAACAGTGAGCTCTTAGTTGTTTGCAATGGAGCAAAATACCTTTGGGTATTTTTCAGTGGACAAAATGTCCAGCCCTTGCTGAGAGCCAGGCTCCTGCTGCCTGGTCAACAGGTGCACAGTTCAAGGTTCTCAACCTGAACTTTCTCACCGAACCAGAGATAATCAGCCATTTTTTCACTGGCTAACAATCATTAACCCACCTCCACCTGGATCCCCGACTTGTTTTTCTGGCCAATGAACTGGTCACTCCCTCTAAAGGTGACAGCAGCTGAACCAGCCAGTTTCCACAGTCCACCACAAAACACCTCTCCCACCGATCACTTGGTAAGAGACAGGAAAAAGAAACCTACCTAAACTTGTAAAGAAAAAAGAATTAAATTAAGCTTAAACTATATGGCTGGAGCTGGAGCTCATTTGGAAGTGTGCTTGCCTAACTTTCCACAAACCAGGGGTGGTTGTGGTACAAAATCAATCCCAGCATTCAGGAGATGGAGGTTGTTCAAGGTCATTCTTGGCTACAGAGAGAATTTAAGGTCAGCCTTGGCTGCAGACACTGTTTTCACACACACACACACACACACACACACACACACACACACACACTTGTTTATCTTGCAATTTTGCCCTAACCCACACACCCTTCAGTATTTATTTCCTACCTACAGCTCAGAAACAGCTATGAGCTGTATCCTGGCTACAATTTGTAAACAAGACTTATTCTAGCAATACTAACTTAGAAAGAAAAAGAAGCCCCTCTCTCCATAGAGCCCAGAGTCCCAGCCAGAATACAGGATTCAGCTCCAAATGAAACCAGAATTTCTTTTTTGGTAGTAAATACTGTTTCTGCTGGCGTGTGTGGTGAACCATACTCCTCCCTCTCTTGGCTCTCCTGCTGGCAAATAAACCTGAAGGAATAAGTCAACCTCACTCTGGAGAAGGTGACAGACAGGACATTGTGCTATTTAAGGGTGGGCTAGACTGCATTTTCTGGCCCCCTTCCTTCATTTGCTTCCCAAACTTCTGGTTTTCTGTAGAAGAAAAAAAAAAAAAATAATGCCCCAGTGTCCCTGCCGGCTAGTGTATGTCACAAAGAGGGTTCCAATCCTCACCCTTGTGTCCTTCAGCTTTCACTGGAACCTCCCAGCTGGCATGTATATGTCCAGAGCCTTCACCATTGAGGACCCATTAGAGGCTCACTGGCATTTGTACAAATAAGAGACAATTTCAATACAAAGAGCCCTCAGTTTAGGTCGCTTTGTCGAGCTCCCTGCCCCACGTAGACTTCCAGTGCCCCAGAGATCAGCAAGGATTTTTAGCTTGGAATGCCTGTGGCTCAGTGAGGCATGATGCTTGGGAAATATTGGTTAAATTGAACTGGAGAATTTTTTTTAAAGGAAAATAGCAAAAATTGGAGGGGACCAGACAGATGGCTCAGTGTTTGAGAGCATGTACTAACTACTCCTGCACAGGACTCAAGTTCAGTTCCCAATGCCGATATCCCCAGCTCCACACTAACCCGCACACAACCACATAGAGACCCATAAACTTAAGTAAAAATAAATTGTTAAAAAAAGTCCTTTGGGGGCTGGAGAGATGGCTCAGAGACATTAAAGGCTAGGCTCATACCCAAAAATATAAAGTCCTTTTTTTGTTTTTCAAGGCAGGGTTTCTCAGTACCTTTAGAGCCTGTCCTGGAACTCTTTCTGTAGACCAGGCTGGCCTCAAATTTAGAGATCTGACTGCTTCTGCCTCCCAAGTGCTGGGATTAAAGGCATTCGCTGCACTGCCACACACACACACACACACACACACACACACACACACGCACACACACACGCACGCACGCACGCACGCATGCACACACTACCACCACACCCCTGCCTGTGTGGGCTTTCCTTTATCTGTATATCTGTTTGTTTGTTTATATAGTTCTGGTGATCAAACACAGAATCTCATGCATGCCACACAACTGTTGTACGGCTGAGTTTCCCTCCCACCCTTTAGTTAATTTGTTTTTTGAGACAGAGTCTCGCTATGTAGCTCAAACAGGTCTTGAACTGGCAGCCTCCTGGGTTCACCTCTTGCTAGGATTACAAGCATTCACTATCATAGCAGGTGACATAATTCCTTAAACCACTGGATACTTAGCAAGGCCTTCAGAAAACTAAATGTTCTGTCCACGGGATTTGCCTTTTGTGATGCCCAAGACCTTGGAGGATCCACAGTTTCTCTCTTCAGTCAATTTTCCAACAGGCTGGGGTCCTCTGGGCTTCACCTCTTTCTGCATATGATAAAAATTTGCTGGAAGCAGCAAGAAAGAGCTGGGAGGTCAAAGATGAAGTCTGGAAAATAGTCTCATCATGTAATCCAGAGTTGGCCTAGAGCCCACCCCACCCCATCCCCACTTCCACACACACCCCCCCGCACCGCGTGCACCTTCACTGCCCCCAGCCCCCACTCCGCATAGCAGGCAGGGTGCAGCGGAGCCTGCCACAGCTTCTGCTTGCTCAGAGAGGACATCAACCCCGTTCTGAATCCTTATCGCACAGGCAAGAATGCATTCTCCCGGTCCTCTGAAGATAGCGCTCTCACTCCGCTCTCCACATGCTGCGCATGTGACAGAACCCCTCCTGGCACAGAGATCCCAGCTCCTCTCCCCGCAGGGACCCACACAGTGGCCTTTGGATGCTTTGTCACAGAATCCGCTATTTCTCTTCAACTCACCTCAATCCATAGAAACTCGGGTCCTAGGATCATCACAGTGGATACTCAACCCTCTCTAGGAAGACTTACCTGGTAGAGGGAGGGAAGGGGCTGTCTCTTCTGCTGAGACACACTCCTGATGGCCCCCAAAGTCTTGACAGTAGAGGACACAAAAGTCCCAGCCTCCTAACACACTGAGCACCTGCTTCCTCTGTGGCCACGAAGAGCCAACACCACCTCATCGTCTCTCCAGGTTAGAGACAACACGGGTAGGGCAATCAGAGTCTGCTAGAGATAATGGGCAGTCCTTGATGGTAGAGATGAGGATTCGAGATCTCACCTCCAGGTCCAAAGCACATACCCTGGAAGATGTGGCCATCATTTCCAGCATGGGATGTCATCAGCTTTCTCTACAGACTTAGAGACTCTGGATTTTTCACTGCCCCAAATCTAATCCCTATGTGAAAGTTAGTGTAGTTAGTGCTGGGAAAATCATGTGTGCTCTCAAGTCTTTCATTCCTACTGGTTCTACCCTTGAAAAATGCATGGATCTGTCCCCTAATTCACTTCCCTGCTCTCCTCTGAGTCCTCTGTGACCCAAGAGTAAGGTTTTTCTCTGTCCCTTTCTTGCAGGTTGATTGTATAAATATATATGAAAGAAAAAGCAAGACACAAAAGCCTCTTTTCTGCCTTCCTTTTTTCCTCTTCTTCCTTTTTTTTTTTTTTTAAGATGTGGTCTCTCTATGTAGTCCTGCCTGCCTTGGAACTCAATACATAGCCCAAGCTGTCCCTTGAACTCACAGAGATCCTCCTGCCTTTTCCTCCTGAGTGCTGGGATTAAATATAAATGCCACTACACCTGATTCTAAAGCCTTTTCTCAAAAATGACTAAGATGAGGCAAAGACTTAATGCATTTGCTGGAGTAAGTGGCTGGCATGCACGAAGCCCTGGGTTGGATACACTCCACATAAATAGGGTATGGCAGGACATGCCCATGGTCCAGCACCTGGGAGAGAAGTGGATTTAAGACCTTGGTCATCCTTTTGTACATAGTGAATCTGAGGCCTTCGGTGCAGGAGATCTGATGTCAAAGAACGAAACCTTTCGAAATTCAAAGACTAAAATTTTCTAACTTTTTTCTCTAGAGTCTGCAGTTGCCAACTTACTAGATTCCTATTAAGAGTCACATGTCACATGTTCATTTTATTCTGTAGCTCAGAGCTGGCTGGCATACTTGTCTAGCATGCTTGAGGTTCTATATTGGATTTCCAACAATACATACACACACAAACACACACACACACACACACACACACACACAAGAAACAACTTACATCTTCAAATTCAAAAGTTCTTAGTTTTAAGGTAATCCAGTGAATTAATCACTGCATTAAAAAAAAAACAATTGCTCTAGGGCTGGGCAAGATGACTCATCAGGTAAAAGTGCTTGCCGCCAAACCTGAGGACCTGAGTTCAGTCCCCCGCAGCTCTCTCATGGTGGAAGGAGAGGAGAGACCTGACTCCTGACAGTGATCCTCTGATCTAGATACACGCACTTTGTCAGGTGCACACATGTACGCACACACTCATACACTCACACACACCTAAATGAAAAACATTTTAAACGATTGTTTACTTGCCCTAAGAAATATAAAATATTGGAAAGGTTGTTGGCTTCCCAAACCAGAGGCAGACCCCGGACCCACATGAAGTTGATGAAAGGCCAACAGAGTGACACTTCTCAAGACAGTAGAACCTATTATATGTTTTGTGTAGTTTAAATTAACAACTTAAAGCATCAGTCCCCACAGCAGCAAACTTCCCTTTGTCTCCAAATAAATGCAGCTGCAGACTTCAAAAACCAGACGCCCTTGCAGGAGCCATGGTGAAAACAGACTCTGCCCGGAGCCTCTGGCCTGGCTTCCAGGACCAGGAAGGAGGACAGCCCCTAGCACTGTCAAGCAGTGTGCCCAGGTTAATAATTGGCTCTGCCAATAGCAGATCAGGCTGTTTTTGTGTGCCTGTTTTGCTATTTTACGTAAATCACCCTGAACATGTTTGCATCAACCTACTGATGATGCACCTTTGATCAATAGATTTTAGACAAAAGTGGTTTTTGAGTCCAAAGATCGGGGCTGGGTTGACCTACAGTCTGCATCCAGGGCATATAAAACGGGCAAGGCACGAACTGATAGCAGAGCAATCACCAACAAGCCTGGACTCACTGCACGGGCTCTGCTGCCAGCTTCCCGAGGTACCAAGGCAATGAGGATGGAGGAAGGAATGAACATTCTCCACGACTTTGGGATCCAGTCAACACGCTACCTCCAAGTGAATTACGAAGACTCGAAGGACTGGTTCATCTTAGTGTCTGTGATTGCTGACCTCAGGAATGCCTTCTATGTCCTCTTCCCCATCTGGTTCCATCTTCAAGAGACTGTGGGCATCAAACTCCTTTGGGTGACGGTTGTTGGGGACTGGATCAACCTTGTCTTTAAGTGGTAAGGACCATGCAGAGGGGTGCTTAGCAGGGAAAGAGGCTGCATTCTCTCTAGAAATGACTGTCCTTCAGTAGGGACACTCCATACTGCTCACAGAGCCACAGGTTAGACCTCCCTTGGCGTGGGAGTATCAACAGAAAGAATAAAGATAGTGGGAATCCCACCAGTGCCTGGGAGCAGGGAAAGTCTATTTTATCAGACCTGAAGAGTGGAAAGTTAGAGTGTAGTTCTTGTTCTAGTTTACCTTGCATTCTTATTTTGAGATAGGGTCTTGTGTAGCCCAGGCTGACCTCAAACTGACTATGTAACAGACAGTGAGTGATCTCGAATTCCTCGTCTGCTGGGATTACAGGTGTGTGTTCCCATGTGCAGGTTAGCATCCTGGGAGTTTGAACTTGGGGCTTTGTGCATGTCAGCAAGGACTGGACCAACTGAGCTGCATCTCCAGCCTCTGAGCCCAGGTTTTAAAGAAACAGTTTTATTACTATGAAGAAGAATGGGTACCTTAGAAATAAATGTAGGGAAGAAGTAGAGAACTGAGAAAAGGAAGCCAATGATCCAGCGTTTTGTGAGAAGTAATCCAGATAGCCAGGACCTTGCGCTGCCATCTTCCAACAGTGTGTTCTCAGATAGCTATGTGAACTCTCTGAGCTTGTTTTAGAGTCTATAGATTTTTGATTCTCTCCAGAATCTTAGTAATAATCACAGTGGACTACGTGCAGTTTATTTTTATATTTATCATTTATTGAGCAGTTACTATGTGCCAGGCTCTGTGTGTGTGGGGTGTCTGTGTGTACATTTGTGTGTGTGTACATATTAATATGTGTACATATATGTACCTATGTTCATGGAGGCCAGAGCAGTCAGTCATGCCTCAGAAACTTTGAGACATGGTCTGTGGACCAGAGCTTGATGAGTAGATTAGACCCTGGGGCTCCACCAACCTGTGTACATTGATGCATGGGGTTTTTGTGTTTTTGTTTTGTTATTATTGTTTTGGTTTTGTTTGTTGTTTTGGTAGATTCTGGTGATGGAATTCAGGTCCTCCTGTTTCATAGCAAGCACTTTACCGACTGAGACCCCCCCCCCAGGCCTTTCCCTACTTTACTTGTGGACTTTTTGTTTGTTTGTTTTTGCTTTTGCTTTTTTGTTTGTTTTTTGAGACAGAATCTTACTATGTAGCTTTTTCTGTCCTAAAACTCACACTGTAGACCAGCTGGCCTCAAACTCACAGAGATCCGCCTGCCTTTGCCTCCAGAGTGTTGGGATTAAAAGCGTGTACCAATACTCCTGGATTTTGATTGTGTTTTTTAAGATGGGGCTGAAGGGAAGAGTGCAGGGCAGGAGCAGCATCAAAGAATCATCTCATGCTGTAGCCCAGGCTAGCCTGGAACTGATTAAATAGTCTAGTCTGGTCTTGACTCATACCTCCTCTCAAGTGCTGGGCCACCACGTATAGCTTGTTTGATTTTAAATTCTTTGGGGGTGGGCTTTGAACCTGAATGCAGAGTTTTGCATTCTTTATCCCCGAGCTATATCCTCAGCCCACGGGATTTTTTTTTTTTTTTTTTTTTTTTTTTTGTTAAAGGACAAAGTCTCTTACTGTGTAGCCTAGACTGACCTCCAATTTGTAATCCTCAAGCCTCAGGCTTGGGGGGCCGGCAGGAATATAGATGTGCACCATTGTACCGCGTTCCAGGGCATTCTTTGTTTTCAGTCAAGGACTCACATGACATCAGTTGACCTGAAACGCAGTAAGTAGCTGAAAATCACTGTGAACTTTTAATCCTCCTCTTCCATTGGACAAGAACTAGGATTACAGGTGTGTGCCTCCCTGCCTGGTGTGTGTGAATCTGCGTGTGCAAGTCTGTGTGTCTGTGTGTATGTGTCTGTGAGTGTGCCCCAGCATGCTATGGAGGTCAGAGGACAGCTTACAGGAGTGTATCTTCTCCTTCCGCTATGTGGATACCAAGGATACAACTCAGGTCATCAGACTTACAGACAAGTGCTTTTACCTTCCCAGCCATCTTGCTGGCCCTCTCCTGGTGATTCTTAAGATCTACCCCCAGTTCTCATATTCTTTGGCCATATTTAGTAAAAGTCTTTAAGAGTAGAACAAATTGGGTTCTGGATTGAATCAAGGACCTCAAACATGCTAATCAAGTTGAGGTGGTAGTTCAGTAAATGTTTGTCTGATAAGCCCAAGGGCCTGAATTTGATCCCCTGAACCCATGTGAAAATTCTGGGCATGGTGGCTTGCATTGCTAATTCCAGTGCTGGTGTGGTGAAAACAGGCCGTTTAGTTAGGGTTTCTATTGCTGTGAAGAGCTATCATGACCATGGCAACTGCATGGCTTACAATTTCAGAGGTTTAGTTTATTATCATCATGGTGAAAAGCATGGCAGCATGCAGGCATGCTGGAGAAGGAGCCTAGAGTTCTACATCGCGACCCACAGGCAGCAGGAGACAGTCTACCACACTGGGCGTAGCTTGAGCATATGAGACCTCAAAGCCCCCCTCCCCTATAGTAACACACTTCTTCCAACAAGGCCACGCCTATAGTTGTGTCGTTCCCTATGCACCAAGCATTTAAATACAGACCACCACACGAGAGGAGCACGGAAGCTAATCTGTCCTGATTGGTGAGCTTCAGGTCACTGAGGCGGAGGCAGACGGCATTTTGAAGGTTGTCCTTTGACCTACTCACCACTTGTGCAACCCTACATACACGTATTAGAGAGATTGGGGGAAGGTAAAGAAGGAGAGAGAAAGGGAGGGGTCAGGATCTTACTGTGTTGCCTAGGCTAGCCCCAAAGTCTTGGTCTGAAGTGATCCACCTATATCAGCCTTCCAAATAGCTAAGGCCACCACTGCATCTGATTTCAGAAGCTATTATTTATGTTTGAGTAGATAATACATTCACCAGAAGTTGCCAGGCAGTAGTGATGCACACACCTTTAATCCAGGCACTCAGGAGGCAGAGGCAGGCAGATCTCAGTGAGTTCGAGGCCAGCCTGGTCTACAAAGCAAGTTCCAGGACAGCCAGGGCTGTTACACAGAGAAACCCTGTCTTGAAAAAAATTTTTTCAGAAGTTATCTATTGTTTCATATAAAATTCTCCCCACCCCCACTTCTCCCAGGTAAAAGGAGATAAATACTTCCAAAGGCATTAAATACACAAGCTTCTTTTTCTCTTTGAAAGTGAGAGCTTCTGCCAAAATCATGTACCGAGTTGCTCAGACACTGGCTCTGCTTTCCACAGGATTCTTTTTGGACAGCGCCCATACTGGTGGGTCCTGGACACGGACTACTACAGCAACACCTCGGTGCCCCTGATAAAGCAGTTTCCTGTCACCTGTGAGACTGGACCAGGTGAGAGCTCCCAGCCCTCACTGAAGTGAGGTGGATGCTGCTCGTCATAGACATGCACCAACATCCTCTGCAGATTGTGCTGACCTTGAGGGGGCCTGAGGACAGCCATTGCTTCATTCCTTTGTCACAATTTGTCTTCCATTTAGTAGATTTTTAACCTTAAGTTATGGCAGCAGGGCCTTCCATTGCTATTTGGGAAATCTGAGTGATGCTTCCAGGATTAAAATTACTAGCCCAAGAGAGGCCACACCCACAGGCAAAATGCTAGTCAGGAGTAGAACTGGGTCATAGCCCTTTATCTGGAGAGGTGAAAGTGATTGAATGAAGTCTGAGTCCTTAACATCCTTCCTAGAAGCCTGGCCTAGTGATCATGGTCCTCTAAGCTGACTGTCCCATCCCTCAAGTTACCCAAAGTTTTTGTCTTTTGGGTAGGGTTGTGTAGGCAGAGTTTTTCTGTCCCACCAGCTGGCTCACAAATAATCACACAGAGACTTATCATTAACCATAAATGCTCGACTAATAGCTTAGGCTTGTTACTCGCTGGCTCTTACATCTTCAGTACATTCTTCTCCTGCTTGTCTCCCTGTCTCTGTTTGACTCCTTATGACTCTATCCTTCTTCTTCCCAGCATCCTCTTAGTTTGTCTCTCCCATCTAACCTCTTCCTGCCTAGCGATTGGCCAGTCAGTCGGCCTTTTATTAAACCAATCAGAAGGTACCTTGACAAAGCCACACCTTCACAGTATACAAAAAGATTATTTCATAACACGGTAGGCCAGGATAGTCCTAAACTCACTATGTGATTGGAGAGGATCTTGAATTTCTGATCCCCCTGCCTCCCCAACCCTCCTGGGACACCAGGTATGCTAGGCTTCTGTGCATGCTAGACAAGTACTCTGTCAACTGAGCCACATCCCCTCACCAACCTGTGTTTTGTTAGATATAGCTAGATATCAATTATTAGGTCAAACGATAGTTTGTTTTTGTTTGTTTTGCTTTTGTAATAGAAATATCCAGGCCAGGCAGCAGTGGCTCACACCTTTAGTCCCAGCACTTAGGGGTCAGATCTCTGAGTTTGAAGTCAGCCTGGTCTATAGAGAGAGTTGCAGGACAGACTCCAAAGCTGCACAGAGAAACCCTGCCTCAAAAAAAGAAGAAAGAAAGAGAGAAGGGGGGAGGAAAGGAGGAAGGAAGGGAGGAAGGGATATCCAATAAATGCTTCCCAGAAAGTCTCAGTGCTCTTGCCCCTCCTCAGTTTCTCTTCCCTTCTGCTAGGAAACATCTTGGATGTTTAGTTTCAGAGACCATTGGTTCTTATTGAGGACCTACCATGTGCCAAGCCCTGTTTGAGATGCCTGAGATAACTTTGCTGGCGAACAAAACAAAGGTCCTGGACCCAGAGCTGAAATTTGAAGGGAGTGAACTGTGTCAGTGTACAAAAATTATAATAAGTCAATAAAACAGACTGTTAGATGATTTGAGTGAAAAAGAAGACAAGGAAGAGAGAAGAGGAGGCTGGAGAGATGGCTAAGCGGTTAAGAGCACTGGCCACTCTTCCAAAACAGCCCAGGTTCAATTTCCAGCATCCGCATGGCATCCCACAGATGTCTGTAACTTCAGTTCCAGGAGATCCAATGCTTCTATGGATACTTCATGCACATGGCAAACAGATATACATGCAGGCAAACCACACATACACATAATATTTTTTTAATAGGAGAGGAGAGAGAGTTTGTCCATGAGATTTGCTGGAATGCTAACTGGAGTAGAGATGAGAGAGCAGTTAATAACTCTCCAGAGCCAAAATTGTGCAGGGGAAGGGATGTGCTGATGGGCAGATGGAGAAGTCCAGTTGTCACTAAATCTCACATGACTCCACAAGGAGCTCTCAAACTGGAGATGTCTCTTAATACAGACCAGTCATGGGATACAGGCTATACCTAGGTATAGAGGACAACCTTGATTGAGATGGTTGTCTTCAGCCCAAAGCCAAGCCCACAAATGGCTGAGAGTTAAGGGGCAACCTACACCAACCTACACCTGTGCTCTTCACAGCTTGAAAATCATCGTTCTGTCTAGAAGGGGAGATGAATAGTAGATCTCAAAAATGGGAAACAACTGTAAGTTGGTCAGAGAAATTAGAGTTAACCAGAGGAATTATGGGAGATATGTTTAGGGGCAAGCAGAGCACAATGAGAAGGAAAATCGAAGGGGACTGGTGGTTGACAGATCAGTGAATAATTTGCACACACAGTGTCCTGATTCCTGTGCAATCTCCAGACCATCTGAAATTACAAAGGCAGTGATGACCTCTATGTTTTTGCTGGCCACAGTACTCCCAGATTCCTGCACCGTCTTGGTGCATAGTATGAATTCAGATTGTAAAATAACTGAATTATAGATAAATGGGTGAATAGTAGGAAGGATGGTTCATTGGATGGAAGGCATGATTAATGGATTGGTTGATGGATGGGTGGATGTGGGGATGATACCTTGGCAGTTTCTCAAATGGACATCTCACCATCTTCAGTTCATTCATCTCTTTTCTGTCATTTAGGGAGTCCTTCTGGCCATGCCATGGGTGCAGCAGGTGTATACTACGTGATGGTCACCTCCACCCTAGCTATCTTTCGTGGAAAGAAAAAGCCAACATTTGGATTCTGGTAAGGGCCCATCACTGGAATTGTGGGTGGGCGTGAAGTTGCAAACTCTGTTGCTGACACAGACTTGTTTTTCCTTTCACTTGCTCATGTTTGTTCCCACAGTTAGCACCTTTGCTGTGAGCTAGCATCAGAGTCACAGAACATTAGGGCTGGAAGGAATCCACTAGGGCAGCCGTTGACTTAGACAAAAAAAGCATACTGCCATGGACAGGAATTGGAAAGATCGTCTAAAGCATTGATTCTCAACCTGTGGGTCATGACCCCTTTGGGAATGAGTATCAGATTTTTACATTGTGATTCATAACAGTTGCAAAGTTACAGTTATGAGGTATCAACAAAATAATTTTATAGTTGGGGATTACCACAACATGAAGGGCTATATTAAAGGGTTACAGCATTAGGCAGGCTGAGAACCACTGATCCAAACAGAGTGGCAGAGCTTAGATTAAATTCATTATTTCATTCGTTCATTTATGGATTTGGTATTTGGTTCCATTATTCAAACTTGGGAGTTTGTGCATGTTGTATAACTACTCTACCACTGAGCTGTATCCCCAGCATTAAAAAAAAAAAAAAAAAAAAAAAAAAAAAAAAAAAGGCAGTTGGTGATGGTACAAATGGTACAGGTCTCTCTCTCTCTTTTTCTCTCTTTGAGACAGGGTTTCTCTGTGTAACAGTCCAGGCTGCCTAGAACTCACTCTGTAGACCAGGCTGGCCTTGAACTCACAGAGATCTGCCTGGCCCTACCTCCTGAGTTCAATGGTGCAAGTCTTTAATCCCAGCTCTCTGGAGGCAGAGGAAGGTGAATCTAGGATGGCCACAGCTACACACAGAAACCCTGTTTTGAAAAATGAAACAGGTGATGGTGGTGCATGCCTTTAATCCCAGCATTTGGGATTAAAGAGAGAGTTCCAGGACAGGCTCCAAAGCAATACAGAGAAACCCTGTCTTGAAAAACCAAAAACAAACAAAATCTCATTTTTTAAAATCAATTTGGAGTCACCTCATAGGTTAAAATAAACAGACATAAAATATTCCTCATGTGGGGAAACCTAGGTATGCAGTTACAGTAAACTAAGTAAATTCTTAGTTATCAAACAGATAAAACTGGGCAGTTAAACCAGGCTTGGTAGCACATTCCTTTAATCCCAGCACTCAGGAGGCAGAGGCAGGAGGATCTCTGTGTTGAAGCTAGCCTGATTTTAGAGAACAAGTTCCAGGACAGCCAGGGCTATTACACAGAGAAATCTTACCTTGAAAAAAAAAAAGGGGGGGGGAGGACAGTTAAAATACATATAAAAGGGGACTATGGAGATGGTTCAGGGATTAAGAATATTCTTCCAGAGAACCTGGGTTCAGTTCCCAGCACCTATATGGTGGTTCACCATGGCCTAAAACCCCAATTCTTGACTCCCTCTTCTGACCTCTGTGGGCACCAGGCATGCACATGGTACACAACCATACAATAGCCAAGATACACATACACATTAAAACATTATATAAATGATTCAGGCATGGTGGCACCTGAGAAGTGGAGGACCAGGAGTTCAACATTATCCTTGGCTACATAGTGAGGTTGAAGTTCACCTGGGCTTTATAAGGCCCTTCTCAAGTAAAATACACAATAGAAACCTCTCAGGGCTGGAGAGATAGCTCAGTAGATTAAGATGCAATCCTCATAAAGGTGAAGAGAAACAACCCCACAAAGTTGTCCTCTAACTTTCATACACATGCTGTGACTCATGCTTTCTGCTCCCACATCACATACAGAAACACAACAATAATAAATAAATGTATAAGCATTCTTGGTTACTTTTCTATTGCTTTGATGAAACACCATGACCAAGGCAACTTATAGAAGGAAGCTCTCAAAACCTGCCCTTATTGACATATTTCCTTCCACAAGGCCACACCTCCTAGTCCTCCCCAAACAGAGCCACCAACTGCAGATCAAGTATGCAAATGTCTGAGAATACAAGGGAGGATTTTATTCAAGCCACAACAATCACCATGCATTTTTGAGTTTTGAATGGGACTCCCAATTTCTAAAACTTCCTCTGATGGTGCCTCAGTTTGCCAGGTTCCTCCGTGCCCACCAGGGCCATTTTCTTTAGTGAAGGACCAACGTGTGGGTTCTGAAGCGCTTGCCTATTCTCTTGCAGGTGTTTGAAAGTCATCTTGTGGTTGGGATACTGGGCCGTGCAGCTGAACGTCTGTCTGTCCCGGATCTACCTTTCTGCTCACTTTCCCCACCAGGTTGTGGCTGGAGTCTTGTCAGGTATCCACAGCTCTGACTTCTTCCCTCTTATTTCTTCTGGAACTTTCCTTGCTCAGCGAGGCCTCCGTGCCGACAGCCTTTCAATGGTTTCAAAGTCAAGGGTGGGTGGGAGGAAGGTAAAGGAAGTGGCTTTGTCTATAAACCAGCAGGAAGACCTGAACTGGATTCCCAGCACCCACTTAAAAAGGCAGCCACAGCCATGCACACCTGTATTCCCAGAGCTGGGAGACAGGCACAGGGGGGGTCCCTGGAGCTCACTTGGTGAGCTGAGCTCCAAGTCCCAGGGGCAGACCCTATAAAACAAACAAAACCAACAAGGTGGATGACCCTGAGGAACACCACCTGAGGCTGACCTCTGGTCTCCACAGCACACACATGAGCATCCATCACATAAACATACAGGCACACAACTTGAAATTCTTAGTTTCTACAGCATTCCCAGAGCTACACAACTAAAAGATATCCCAGAAAAGCTCACTCACCCAATAGTTTGTTTAAAGTTCCCAAGCTTATTTTTTTTTTCTTTTTAAGATTTAGTCATCTATTATGTATACAGTGTTCTGTCTGCATGCATGCCTGCAGGCCAGAAGAGGGCACCAGATCTCATTACAGATGGTTGTGAGCCATCATGTGGTTGCTGGGAACTGAACTCAGGACCTCTGGAAGAGCAGCCAGTGCTCTTAACCACTGAGCCATCTCTCTCCACCACATCTGCAAGCTTCTTACACTCTTTATTTCTCACTGATTTTGAATTTGAAGAGAAACTAGCAACTGTACAATGCCTTGGGAGAGTCGTTATTGAGAGACATCCGTTTGCAGGCCTAATAGATGTCTGCGCCCGCTGTTCTCTCATGGTTTGTGCATCTGCATTTGCTGAGGTCCAGTTAGGAAGAAAATATTTAGGTTAAACATTTAAAAAAAAAAAAAAAACAGCTGGAGGGATAGCTCAGCAGTTAAGAGCACCAGCTGCTCTTCCAGAGGACCCAGATTCAATTCCCAGAACCCACATGGCAGCTCACAATTGTCGTAACTCTAGTTCTAGAGGAACTGACACCTATGGAAAAACACCAAAGTACATAAAGGAAAAAAAAGCAATATCTAGATTGGGGACTTGGGGAGGGGACAGAACAATTACAAGCCTGAGGACCTAAATTTGATCCCTGGAACCTACAAGGCAGCAAAGAACACACTCCAACTAGCTGTCCTCTGATTTCCACATGTGAGCTATTGTACATGTGCCCCCCACACACACACACACAAAATGCCTGGCAAATGAACATATGCTTGTAGAAACTACATCATACAACAAATTTGGGGATGCTTTGGCTAGAGAGAATGTCATCAACTGTGTGACCGAGGGGTCATATTGACAGCTTACTAACTTCTATGGAAGGAACTGAGGCCAATAGATGATATTAAAGGGTGACAATGGTCTGTCTGATGAGATGGCTCAGTGAGTTAAGGCATTTACTACCAAGCCTGACAACCTGAGTTTGAGCCTGGGACCCACATGGTAGAAAGAATCAACTCCTATAACTTGCCCTTTGACCCCCACACAGGTGCCATGTCAATTTATGCCTGCCCACCCACTAACAGACATGCATACACATACCCAATAAATAAGTCGATGTAGTGAAATTTAAACTAAATGAGTAAATAAAAGAGGACAAGTCCATCAAAAACTGAATGAATGGGCTTGTCTGGTGGGAATGCAGTCCAGAAACAAAACACACAACAGGAAACTCAAATTCAGTGGAAAGATGTATGTGATACAATTCTTTCACCCGAAAGATACTATGTTGTGCCTTTACACCCTCCCCTTTAGTGTGTGACTTAATTTCCCCTAGTGGGATGATGGCCTGTCACCCAATGCCACCTTCTTATTTCTCACAATGCTTTCTTCTGCACAGGCATTGCTGTGGCTGAAACTTTCAGCCACATCCGGGGCATCTACAATGCCAGCCTCAAGAAGTATTGTCTCATCACCTTCTTCCTCTTTGGTTTCGCACTTGGATTTTACCTGCTGCTAAAAGTGCTGGGAGTGGACCTGCTATGGACTTTGGAGAAAGCCAAGCGATGGTGTGAGCGGCCTGAATGGGTCCACCTGGACACCACGCCCTTTGCCAGCCTCTTTAAAAACCTGGGGACCCTCTTTGGGTTGGGGCTGGCCCTCAACTCCAGCATGTACATGGAGAGCTGCAAGGGAGACCTCGGCAAGTCACTCCCGTTCCGCCTTGCCTGCATTGTGTCCTCCTTGGCCCTCCTGCACCTGTTTGACACTTTGAAACCCCCATCCCAGGTTGAACTGGTTTTCTATGCTTTGTCTTTCTGCAAGAGTGCCGCGGTTCCCTTTGCATCGGTCAGTCTTATTCCCTACTGTCTAGCCCGGGTTCTGGGCCAGACACACAAGAAGTCTCTGTAAGGCACGTGGGATCTTTGGTGTTTAAAGTCAACAACCATGCAAAGGGTTGGGGGCTACCAAAGCCTCCTGCACTCAAGGCCAGAGGTGGTCACATCAGCCCTGGTAACCCTGTCTTTCTTTGCTATCTTAAGCAAAGAAGGTGACTTTTGCAATGCTAAAGGGGCTGTTTGAGAAAACCTTGAGAGCTAGAAGTTGGGTCGGTCTGGAATTTTTCCCAAAGACCACTTGCCACTCTCCTGTCAGACAGAGAATAGCAAGCCCAGGCCAGACATCCTGACTGAGAATTCTCTCCCTGTGCAGAATCCTCCCAGCTGGAAAAAGGGCACAGTGTATTTGGTAAGAAGAGAAAGAAGGACCAGGAGGCGGGGAAGTGTTTTGTGTGTTGAGCAAACCACGTGCCAAGCCATGTCTAAACTGCTTCCGTTATGTCTGAGTCTTTAGATAGGACACTCTTGATAACGGTAGACGAACTTAAGGTGTACTGAGCAGCCAGCTAAGGCGGTAAATGTGCTTCTGGCTTTTCTCCGTTTGTGTTACTGAATGGCTATGGTACATTGCACAAGTCAGAACACGCAGGCATCATCAACTTCTCTATCAGTCAGTCTCCTCCACAGCCTACATCTGCATTCCCTGGAATTGTCTGATGCTTCCCTGCCCCTGCAGCTGGGCCCTCAGATGTCAGCGGGTGACTGTTTGGTGGTGCTTTTGTAGGGTTAAGTTAAACTCTAAAACCGTGGGCAAAGGACAAGGGGAGAGCCAGGATGCCTCTCTCAGGAAGGCCACTCCAATGCTATTTTGATTCCTGGAGCAGAATATGACTCCTTTCTCTAGCCCAAGCCAGACAAGAACTCATTCTTAGAGGAAAAGCCAGCTCCAGTCTTCTCTGATTTGCAGGTTATATCTTCAAAAAGAAAAGAAAAAAAAGCTGTAGCTATTTATTCAAAATTCTTTGTTTTTGCTATGAATTATACATGTATTCTAACCCACATCAAGTGCTCTGTTCCTAACATCTTTGAAAAGAAAACTACATGTGTGCAGTATTTTATTAAAACATTTTATTTAAGAATGGAGTCTTGCTTATCACTCTATTTTATTTTGTTTTTATTTAGTTTTCTTTTTATTTTTTGTGTATGGGTATTTTGTCTGCATGTACGTCTGTGGACCATGTGCATGTCTAGTGCATATAGATTCCAGAAGAGGGTGTCGGGTCTCCTAGCACCAGAGGTACAGTTGTTGCGAGCTGCTATGCTTATAAAAACATTTGTGATAGCAGCAATGATGAGATGGCAGGCAGTGACAGGTTGAACCTGAGCCTAGCATATGAGGTGGCTGGCATCTCAGGAAAATGGATACTGTCCAGGTTAGGGTTAGGGACAGTGTCCATTATCTAATAAAGTTTGCTTCAAATCTGGCTCAAGTTTTGTGACAGTGGTCCTGTTCTCACTGCCTCTCTCATGGCCAAACACAGTCTGCTGCCCTTGTTCAGTCTACTACATTCTCTCTCTGCTCTAGATTCTTCCAGATGCCTCTGGATGTTCTCTCTCTTTCATCTCTACAATAAAAGCCTTCCCTTTAACCATACCAAGCAGTGATCATGTCATCAGTTTATACACTGTCTGAGTTGGTGAGCTCCAGATTCAATAAGAGATTACTCCTCAAAAAAATAAGGTAGAGAGTAATGGAGGAAGACACCCAACACTGATCTCTGTTCTGCACACACACACACACACACACACACACACACCACACATATACACACACAGACTCACACACACAGACTCACACACTCACACATACAGGTTGGAGATCTAGCTTAGTGACCAGAGTGTATGCAAGGTCCTAGGCTCAGCCCTCTAACACCAAAGGCAGTGAGAGAGGTTTATTTCCTAAAACCTTTCCCGTCCCCATTTTCCCATGTGCAGCACCTAACATGTTATACAATGGACAGGCTGGGATGGGCGGGGTATCTTCCTGAAGGGTCTCCTACGGATCACTAAACTAACCTGTTAACAGTTATTGTGACAGACAAGGGTCAGGTGAGGTTAAATGGGCAGGCGACCACAGTCTGGCCTCAGTGCTGAGCTTCAGAACTACAAAGATAGTGTTAGCCAAGGCTGCACCCTAGTTACCAGACCACAGGTCAGCAAGAATTGTTCTGGGATCACATTGTAACTTGAAGGAGGGTGGAGCAGAGACACGGCCAAGTGAAGCAATAACTTGTAAGAAAAAGTGTGTGAGCGGGTGGGGGCAGGACAAAGCTAGTGATCTGCTGTCAACACGGGTTGGGGTTATAGGTAAAGAAAGCCTACGGCAACTCAAAGCACCCAGGAAAGCTACTGCATGTTTCTGTTAAACAATTTATTTCATCTTGGTACGTACTCCCACCTCCAAGACCTCCCCCTCCCCCCTCATTACCATAATCTTGCATTGCCTGAAACAAGAGCTGACTGATTGCCCAAGACTCCTGGAATGTGTTTATTTCAGCAGGGTGAGTTTTCTTAGAGTCTGGGGTTCTTCGGAGATGCTAAAGCTTCCAGGAAGAAGGGCATTGGTTCTCAACTGTCTGACAACGTGGGGCCCACACTGGATTCGCCAAACTCAGGTTCCTTGCCAGAGGATTATAGCCGAATGTGAAGCTTCCAGATTTCCAGCTGTGCCCCTAATAAGCACACCAGCAACAGACAACAAACACTCATCAGCTTGCTGTGTGCAGTTACCTCTACAGTTAGTTACATCCTCTCAACATCACCCGGGCAGTTACTATCAGTTAATGCCACATCACACATGCTTAGACACAGAGAGACAAAGGAGCTACTCACAATGGTGGGACCAGTTAAACAATCAGGAAGTCTTGACACTGGAAAGGTGGCCCAGTGGTTAAGAGCACTGGCTGCTCTTCCAGAGGTCAAGATCAGTTCCCAGCACCTCCACTGGTGGCTCACAACTGCCTGTACCTCCATTTGCAAGGAATCCTCTTCTGGCCTTCTTGGTCACCTGAACATGTCCCACAGGAGGGGATTCAGGAGTGGTACTTAATCTGGTTAAAAAACAAAACAAAAACATAGGGGGTGTGACCCTATTATTATTATTATTATTATTATTTATTATTATTATTTTGCTAAATGATCATGTCATCAAACTGCCTTTGAAGTGTTTATATTTATAGCCATAGATCTATGCTGCTCTCAGCCTTGGCCAGTGGGCATCCCTTGACTAGGACTGATATATAACTGATCAAAGTGCTGAGAATAAAGGGCTGCATTGTAATTTTAAAAAGGCTGGAGAGATGGCTCAGAGGTAAGAGCACAGGCTGCTCTTCCAAAGGTCCTGAGTTCAATTCCCAGCAACATACACGGAGGCAGAATGTTGTTTACATAATAAATAACATGTTTAAAAAAAAAAGTGGCTCAAGAGAAAAAGATGCCACGGAGGGATTTTTTTATTAGGAGAAAGGGAATGGGGAAAAAGGGGGAAGGGAAGGGGGGAGCCTGGCCTCTGGAGACAGGAGCAGCAGAAGAGAAGAAAGAGGTGGGGGAGGGGACACAGAAAAACAAGCAGAGAGAGAGATGAGTGGTGGGCGGGGCCCTTTTAAAAAGGAACAGAGTGAATGTGCACAGGTGGTGCTCTTAGTGGCTGCAGCTGAGGGTGTATCCTATCAGAACCCCAAGGGCAGGCCAGTACATATACCCGAATAATAAGAGAGTGAATTGTCTCTATAAGTAAATGATGTCATGTCATAATACCGGTTGGTACACAAAAAGTAACTGTAATATGTGTTGTTATTGCCTGAATATTTGTGCCACCCCAACACTCATATGTGAAAGCCCTAATCCCTCAATGTGACGGTATTTGGAAATGAGATTAATGTCATGATGTAGATGGATGTTTTTGATAAGTTTATTGATGAGACACCAGAGAGCTTGTTCTTTCTCTATACCAGTTGAGAACACAGGCAGCCATATGCAAACCAAGAAAAAGCCCTCACCAGACCTGATCAATTTGATATCTGAAGGAAAAAGAGAAATAACAAGGAAGGACATGACTGCTCTAGGTGTGGTGGAGAAGAAGTTTTATTGTAAGTAAAAAGAGAGAGAGCATAGTCAGAAGCAGAGACAGATATCTGGGAGAATGCGAGCGAGCGTGACCAGACTGGGCCGTGTGAGAAGGGGAAGCAGGGAGAGGAATCTCCAATGAAGAGGAGTATCCTGGGCCGAGAGACCGGGATAGCCAAAATGGTTGTTATATAGGGACCAAAGGAGCAGCGGGGAGGGAAGCCCAGGCCAACAGGTGCAGGAAGCCCAGGCTGCAGAGTTCAGGGTAGGGGGTGAAGTGCCAGCGCTACGATCTGTTCCACAAGTCGGGCTAAGGCCTAGAGATTGAAATAAGAGACAAGACAGCGGGTCATAGGTTCTACGGCAATGTCGGAATGCCGTTTATTGAGGGAATGAAGTGGGCTGACTCACAACACGGTGGAAAATAACAGGGTTTTCAGGCTTAGCTCCTCCCTACCAGGTGTGTGTTAGCAAGACAGGAAAAGAACCAATAACAACTCTGGGGGAAGATGTTCCAGCCAACAGCTCTAGGCTTGCTCGAGGTGCCTCGGGGGTCCATGCAGGGCCCTACAGGGGTGTGTGTGTGCCAGCCAGGAGGACCCTGTAACAGCAGAGACTGGGAGATGCTGGGAGAACCTGGTGGCCCCCACCTGCTTTGCTATGTTAACAGCACCTCAGTTTGCCGCTTTGTCCCAGGTTGGAGACCACTCCGACCTTGCTCCCAGCCATGGTGGAACTATGAGAATCTAAGTTCTGTTAAGTCATCTAGTGTGTGGCACTTTGTCCTAACAGCTCAAACTGACTACTATAAATCAGACACTTTGGATACTCCACTCCCTTGACCTCCCTCGCTCTTGCTGTCTTGGTCTCCTGGCGTTTTGGCCTTCCCACTTCCCTTTCTCCCTTCCTGTTTTCCCCACATGCCTCTGGTCCTGCAGGCAAGGTCCCATCAGGACTCTTTCAGACGCCTCTTCCTCATAAGCTGTCCCAATACCTATAATAAACTTTCTCCATACTCTTCATTCACCACCAAGCCTGACAGCTGGAGTTCAATCCCCAGGACACACGTGGTTGGTAGGAGAGACCCACTCCTGTTGGTTGTCCTCTGACTTCTTTAAACATGTCACCGCATGTGTAAGTCTACACGCATACGCAAGCTAAATAAATACATAAGTGTAAATTTTTGTTTGTTTGTTTTATTTTGAGACAGGGTTTTTCTGTTTAGCTCTGGAGCCTGTCCTGGAACTCGGTCTGTAGATCAGGCTGGTCTAGAACTCACAGAGATCCACCTGCCTCTGCCTCCCGAGTGCTGGGACTAAAGGCCACCACTGCCTAGCTTTATAGAGACATTTTTAATTAAGGTTCCCTCCTCTTATTTATTTAGATTGATGTGAAGCTATCCAGAACTTTTGCTTTGTTATGCCAGGTTCGCAGAGCCCCAGACCAACCCAAGGAGCCAACGCCTCTGATGCAAAGGCAAAGGTTTCTTTTTATTGTTCAAGCTGGCCAACTTGGGTCTCATTCCAAGGTGGGGAAATGAGATGCCAATCAACCCTAAGGAGAAGCTTTTAAAGGGGAAGGCTACAAATTCCAGAGTTTCCACCATTACTTAAAGTCGTACAAAGTACAGAGTAAAGCAGTAACTATATATTTTAAGCAAGATACATTTGAGTAAGATAAGAAAGGGCATGGGGCTGCAGGGTTACAGAGTCACAGGGTCAGTCAGTTGTCCCCTGGGCTGAGGGATCTTTACAACCTTGCGACCAGCAATTAGCAGACAGGAATGTTGACATAAGTGGTGAACAGTCACCTCCCCTTTTCTGAGAGCCGGGCTCAGGCTCCAGCCACAGCATTCCTAGTCATTAGAAGTTCCCTTTTCAGGGCCCAAGTTTATAAACTTTTGTTAATTTTAAGTTTTGGTCCTTTAACTTATTGTCGATTTGTTCTTTTGGGGTATTTTTTGTTTTTGTTTTTTTTTTTTGAGACAGGGTCTTACTATGTAGCCTTGGCTTGCCTGG